CCCCCAAGGTGAAAATCCTTAAAAAAAAAAAAAAAAAAAGACTATGTACACAGCTGCAGCAGCAGAGGGCACTGCAGGAACCCGCCCGCCCTGGGCAGGTGCACAGCAGAGGCATGGCCCGGCCTCAGGGAACAAAGCCACCCAGGAGGAGGTGAGCGCCAGCACCCCGTGACAGGAAGGCCACCCACAGGTGTGCGATTCTTTCTCTCCCTCTGTCTGTCTTGTGGAAAGTGCGTGCACCCTATAGCAAAAATCTCTGAAAAAAACATAGTATTTGGTTGGAGCAGCAGGTGGTGGGATAACTCCCACGTAGTCAAATGTGGCTCTCCTGAGCTGCAGCTGCTGCTGTGCCCCAGCAGTGCAGACGCCTAAGACTCAGCATCAGAGCGGCGTGGCTCAGTGCAGCACGGCAGCCAAGGCGTGCTCCACAGGCAGGACTGCAAGGGAAACCGAGGTTCGAGCCTCGGTCCAGCCTTACAGCGGGGCTGTGGTGTGTAATCCGGTGCCTCAGGGAGTGTGAGCAGTGTGGTGACACCATCTTCAAAAAAGCCAGGCACGGGGGCCAGCAGGTGGCAGAGCAGCCTAGGTGCTGACTGTGGTTCAAGACCTGGACCCGGCAACTTGAAACTCATGCCAGGCATGTGTGTGCCTAAGGTCCAGAGAGGGACAGGAGAAGGGGCTGCAGTATAGACGTCCCCAGGTATGACTTCTCGCTTTCTGTCTCTCTGGCGAGTACATACATCCTATAGCAAATCTCTCAAAAACAAAACAAAACAAAACACAGACTTGCATTAAAACTCCAAGTTCTTGTGCCAGCAGGCGGCATTTTGGTCAAGGCAGCTGGACCCTATGTGGCTGACTGCAGTTTGAGTTACAGACTCAGCGGCTTGAAAATCATGCTGGGCACATATGTGTGCATGGCCAAGCCCTAGGAGGAAAATACAGAAGGGACTGCAGTGTGGCCATCTCCCCAGGGGTGATTTCCGACTCTGTCTCTGGTGAGCACATGTGCCCTGTACTAAACTCTGAAACTGAATTCTGGTGGCATGATGGTCGCAGACTGGACTACAAGGCTGGAAGCCGCACAGCCAGCTGCGGGTTGAGCTCCCCAGCATGGACGGGAAACCCCAGTGCACCGGGTCGACCCGGATGCTGAGAGCCACGTCGGGGAGTGCCCCTCTCACTCACGAACGCCACAGCAAACCACGGGACGCAGACCCAGCACTCCGACTCCCGCAGTGCTAGCTCCCCGCCGTGACTCTGTGCCCAAGGGCTCAGGGCGTGGGCGGGAGCCCGCTCCTGAGGGTGGGGGTGAGACGGTGGCCTGTCCCAGGGCAGCAGGGCCCACGAGGCATGGAGCGCAGGACGTGCGTTTGGCTGTACTGGGGGACGTGGGAAGGGCGCGCTGCTGCCTCTGCGGGACAGCCTGTGCGGTCTCACACACGCAGTCCATGGGGATGACAGCCTCAGGAGGTCACATGATGAAGGGGGGCCCTGCCTGCAAACGGGCGGGCTGAGCTCACTAGACGGCTGTCCTGGCACTGCCCTCCCCCAGGTCTTCGGGCCTCGGAAACGACCAGGGATAGGGAGACTCACACGGCTGCTGTTCACAGAACTCTGCCTCCACCTCCACCTGGCACAGACGGCCATTCTGAGAGCCCAGGACAGAGGGCACGGACTCTCCAGTCGGCCAGGGGCCCTGAGGAGGCAGGCGTGTCCCTCTGCTGGCCAAGCACCAACCAGGGCTGGCAGGCTCGGGCCCCGCCCGCTCAGGCCGTGCACTTGACTCCGAGCACAAGGCTGAGAGCTGGGCAGGTCAACTCCCGAGCCCATAAGGCACGGCCGAGTTCAGCTTCCACTGGCCGGACATCGGGGAACTACAGACGGGAGTCCGAAGCCTTGCTGGTGACCAGAAAACCTTGGCGTTAGCCACACGCAGCCTGAAGCCACGGCCAGAGACCCTCAGGCCGAGTTAAGGACTGGTCGGTGCTACGTGACCCGTTTAAAGTGTGGGTGCTCTGGTCAGATAGGCAAGTGTCCTCTTACCAATTTAGGGCCCAAAGGGGACGTCCCCAGTGGGGACGAGGGGGCTGTGCCCAGTGCAGGGCCACACTACCTGGGGGTGAGGAGCGCTGGCTCCCTGCAGGCGAGCTCCCGGCTGCAGAGGCTCTCTGGCGACAGCTCTGCCTCGCTGCCCTCACCGTAGTCCTCAAAGTGCTCCTCGCCACCGATCACCGTGACCACAGACTGGCCTCGCGGGTGGGACCTGCAAAGGCAAAACAGAATGCACACGTTTGGCTCAAGGCCACAGCAACCCAGGCCGACAGCATGGACGGTGCTTCCCAGGGGGCCACAGCAGGCCACACCAGGGTCTGGGGAGGAGCTTGGAAAGGAAACAGGTTGGGATCAGCAGGTGGCACAGTGGCTGGGGCGCTGGACTCCCACGTGGCCAACCAGGATCTGGATCCTGGACCTGGAGGCACGAAACTCATGCTGGGCACGTGTGCGGGCGTGCCCAAAATCCCAAGAGGAGAAGAGGCTGTAGCATGGCCGTCCCCCGGGGTGATTTCTCACTTCGCCTCTCCCTCTCTCCAGCCAGTGCATGCTCCCTGTGGTTTTTTTTTTTTTCTTTTTTCTTTTTGAGAGGTTTTTGCTGTAGGGCGCGTGCGCTCGCCAGAAAGACAGAGACAGACAGAGAGATAGAAAGCGAGAAATCACCCCCCAGGGTGGATGGTCACGTCACAATCCCTTCTCCTCCATTCTCCTCTCGGGATCCTGGGCACGCACGCACACGCGCCTGGCGTGAGTTCAAGCCACCGGGTCCGGGACTCGAACTGCGGTCAACTACGTAGGAGTCCAGCGACATAGCCATTACGCTAACTGCTGGTCCCATTCCCTGTGGGTTCTAACGGAGAAAGTGTGCAGTAGAACAAGCCAGCTGGACTTGGTGCTGATGGTCCCAGCTCTGTCTGCCACACCCAAACAGCATGGTCGGGAGCAGCCGCACATGTGCCTTCGCTCTGCTGGGCCTGGCGAGAGTCTGGACCTCATCGGCCGACGTAGAGTGTCCACACGGCCTGAGAGCAGGTGCTCGCCGGCCTTGGCTCCACAGCGAGCGTGCTGCGCACTGTCCTGTCTTCATGGCAGGCTGGGCAGTTGGGTACGTGAGCACGCATGGTGGGCAGAGGATGGTTCAGGGGGCGGGCTCCAGCCGCAGCCTTGGGCCGGGGGAATGGGGTACACGGGTCTTCCTGTTTTGTGTGGCTGTGGGCCTCTCAGCATGGCCTTCTTGGCCTTCAAAGCCTTTGCTTTAGCTTTGGGAAGGGCAGGACCTTCCTTCATTTTCGGTGTCATCTTGGTGAAAAGGGGACCCTGTGGACTTTTTTTTAGCAAAAATCTCTAAAAGAAAAGAAAAACAGGCAAAACTGATCTCAAACAAAAGACTTCACACATTCAAAACTATCGTCCTTCAAAACCTGGTCTTCCTCCCCTCCTGCGTGTGCACACGCAGTTTCCAGATAGGGCTTCGCCTCGCCAGGTCTGGCTTCCCACGAGGAGCTGGACGGGCCTGCACCATGCGGCCTCAACTCCCAACCGCCTCCATGTCACAGCAAGCGCGCACTGCCAAGAAGGGTCTTCAGGAGTGCAGAGACACGTATTACGGATAGGTCTCAGGACTCTGGCTCACGATAGACTCGCGCCGTAATCCCACCTCCTTGTGGACGCCCTGGGGTCCTTGATAGCTCCGTCCCGTCTCAGTCTGTGCAAGCCACATGCCAGCACTCAGGCGAGGGCGAGGGCAGCACCACATCGGGGCAGCCCTGGCCAAGCCCCGTGAGGGAGCCGCTGTCCTCAAACGGCCACACACCAAGGCACTCAAGCTCCTTTTTTTCTTTTTTCTAAAGAATCACTTGGTTTAACTTTATTTATTTGTTTATTTCAATTTGACCAGAGAGGGAGAGAGAGAAAGTGAGAACAAGAAAGCAAGCCGTCAGGTCCAGGACTCAAAACCACACGGTCAGCCAAGTGGGAATCCAGCGCCTTTAACCACCACGCCACCTGCTGGCCCCATCAAGCTCCTTTCATACAGAATTGAGGAGCAGATTCCACCAGGGAAGGCGGGGCCGGGGGGGTACACCCCTGTCCCAGGGGCGGGCCCGGGGGGGACACCCCTCCACGCCCTGTCCCAGGGGCGAGCCCTGGGGGGGGACACCCCTCCACAATCTGTCCTAGGGGCGAGCCCGGGGGGGGGACCCCTCCACGCCCTGTCCCACGGGTGGGCAGGGGGCCCCAAGGCAAGGTAGGCTCTGATGCTCCAGGCCAGTGGGGACAGTTGTGATGGCAGTGCCCCACGAGCAAGCACCTGAGCTGCTCTGCAGAGAGGGGTTGAGAGAAAGAGCGAGGGGCCCCGTGGAGAAGCATGGCTGAAGACCGCACTCGGCCCCACTCACCTGCAGGGCAAGTTCCTGTCTCAGCACGGGACACACACCGCTCAGCTGAGTGACAGGACGGCCCACGTCTCAGCTACGTTTTCAGGAGAAACGAGTTTAGTGTGTCCTCAGACCCTGCGAGTGAGCCGAGGGCCCGTCCCCACTGTCCCCGCGTCCTCAGACCCTGCCAGTGAGCCGAGGGGCCGTCCCCACTGTCCCCGCGTCCTGAGGCCCTGCCCAGCCCCTGCCAGGAACCCGAGGGGCCGTCCCCACTGTCCCTGCGTCCTCAGACCCTGCGAGTGAGCCGAGGGCCCGTCCCCACTGTCCCCGCGTCCTCAGACCCTGCGAGTGAGCCGAGGGCCCGTCCCCACTGTCCCCGCGTCCTCAGACCCTGCCAGTGAGCTGAGGGGCCGTCCCCACTGTCTCCAGCTGGCTGTGGCTTACCCACGGTCGGCTTTACCACCACCCCACACACCAACAGAAAGGACAATCAACATTTTAAATAAGGCGATATACAAGAGAATTGTATTTTCTGTTTCCTAAGATCAGGTACTGGATCCCACATGGGCAACTGCAGTTCAAATCCCAGACTTGGCAGCTTGACACCCATGCAAGGCGCATGTGGGTGCATGTCTGACATCCTGAGAGGAGGGACTGCAGTTCGGCCCTCCCCCTGGGGCGACTTCTCACTTCCCTCTGCCTCTCCCAGCATGCGCACGTGTCTGGACAGACCTCAGGAAATAAGAACAGGTCAGCTGTTTATTTTATCCAGGTCTGAGAGGAACGGCCCTCAGAGAGGCAGGCCCCAGCTGGCAGCAGCTCTGCCCACCTCTGAGCAGACCTGGCAACCAGGCGGCCTCTGGAACGGACAGGCCAGCCCGCTGGAGGGCAGGGCTCCGTGCAGCCACCTCGCCTCTGCCAGCACGTCATGCAGAGGACGGGCTGACACGTTGTGTTTTCAGACACGCTGACACGCTGCCTGTGGGGACCAGCGCGACAGGCGCCACTAGGCCACAGTCAGATCCCAGACGCATGAGCTCAGCAGACCTGTGCTCGGCCAGGGCACCTAAGCCCAACACTGCTGTGGCGCCAGCCTCTGCAGTCCCCACGCCCCACGGTGTCCATCTGCTCTCTCCGACTACCCAGCTCAGCAAACTGGAAGGGTTCAGGGACCAGCAGTTAGCGTAATGGCTATGTCGCTGGACTCCCATGTAGTCGACCGTGGTTCGCGTCCCAGATCCACTGGCTTAAACTCACGCTGGGCGCGTGTGCGTGCGTGCCCAAGATCCTGAGAGAAGGGATTACAGCATGGCCATCCCCCCGGGGGTGATTTCTCGCTTTCTGTCTCATTCTGGCAAGTGCGCACGCCCTATAGCAAAAAAAGCAAACTGGAAGGGCTGAGCTTGGGGTTGCGGCAGCCCCTATGAGACAACCGTGGGCAAAAAATGCCTCAGCCCACGCGGTTTATCCCCGGGTGCCCGATCTCCCTGGAGCACGGTCCACTCGCCGTGAGCCACAGGACAGTCGTGGCTCTGAGCTCCAACCCCACAACCGGGCTGTGCCTCGTGGACCCCAAACGCCCCGCCAGCCCGCACCAGGGGGTCACATCCAGAGTCAGACTGAAGACCCGCAGATGGAGAGAGGCCTCGTGCAGGGCCAGGGACGCCTGTGTGGCGACTCCTGAGTGACGGCCAGAGGGCCTGGGACCCCCCATCAAAGGGCGCACTGTGGCGGCTTCTGAGTGACGGCCATGGGCCTGGGACCCCCATCAAAGGGCGCACTGCCCTGGCCTGTCCCAGGAGCCTTCTGGCCCTGCAGCAGCAGGCAGGCCACACAAGAGAAGCTCCAACGGGCACAGCCTCTGGTGCTGGCCCAGAGTCACCTGCGAGATGTGGTCCCACCAGCGCCAGTGCAGGGGAGCTGGGCATGCCGCCACTGCTGAGAAGAACCCCAGGCCCGATGGCTGCAAAACACCAGAGCCTCGGGAGCTTCTGCAGTGAGAGTGCGCTCGCGATGGCCCCGTCACCCCACCCCGGGGCAGACTCGCCCTGTCTACAACAGCTTCACCCTCAAAGTCCCCAATGGCCACTGATGCAGACAGGACTGAAAAGCTGCAGCACCCAGGGCTGCAGGAGGGGGCGCTCCACACTGCACAGAGCAGGGCTGGGTCTCTGAGCCTGGGACTGGGGCCAGGGGGCAGCGCGGGCAGGACTGGGGGACAGGGACTAGTGGAGTAGAGCCAGTGCCTGGAGCCACTCCAGCCAGGCACACACGTGGCTGTGGCTGCTCGCGTGTGGGCAAAGGCAGAGGCCCGGTGAGAGTCCCGGGGAGACAGAAATAAGCAAACAAAGTGAAAGACTCGGGCAGGCGTGGTGCACCCAACACCGGCCCTCCCTGATCCCCCCTCCCAAGCCCTTTGCTCCACCCAGGGTGCTCCTTAGTCATCTTCAAAGGCACAGGCTCAAGACACCTTGGGTGGGCGGGACCCAGGCAGAGGTCTGGCGAGGCGTTGTCAGGGGCCCCAAGCAGCACTGCTGCCACCCAGAGCACGAGTGCTCTTCTGCAATCTCCCTACAGCCAAGTTAAACCGCCCCTGGGCCCCAGCCCCAGCCGCCCATGGTGTGCTGCTACGGCCGACTGCCCAGTTTGAGACCTGGACCCACAGCTCGAATTACACACCAAACCCATGTGCGTGCGTGCCCAGAGTCCTCAAGGGAGGGGAGATGGAGGCCTG